ATTAATAGGATATCAATACACATGCATACAATTCACATTGATAGTAGTGAATCAGTACTCATGGCAGGGTGGAAGGAAGGAATGGTTGGAATGGTTAGTTTCATTAAAGTGTCTTTACCGCTTGGTTCAATCAGCACTGTTACAACATGAGGGGTACTGAAATAATGAAAAGCTCCTGTTGCTTATTCCTAGCATAGGATACATTATTCCAAGTTCAGTTTTGGGGTATGGGTTTTCATGTACTGAAGTCAGGATCAGATCCAGGATCAGAAAGTGTTGATGCATATACTAGCATTTGTGCAATCCCACAAAAATGGATTTGCTTTGCACAAATGGTTGGCATTGATTGCCATTTGCATGTAGTTTGTTGGCTTCCACATATTCTGTATCATCCATTTCTTTTCATTGTAGTGTTTTGTTTGACATTGCATTGCTTTGTCTTAGTAAGTTGTTTAATGTTCTTCATTGTGGTATATTTAATTATATGATGTATTAGTTAATACAAAGCAAACTGATAATTCTAGCTACTAACATGGTATTACACACCAGAAGGGAGGGGGGGATCAGAATACAGCTGTTTGCTTTCACTATTCTTATTTTGCTAGGTATCAAATCTAAGAAAAAAGATTGAGTTTAAATATCTTTACCATGGAATTCCTCCCTGGTACATTGGCATTTGTTGCTGGATTTCTTAGTGTATTGGGGCTTAACAGGGAGTGGACAGTAATGGTGAGAAGAGATCTGCTGCCATTGGGTGAACATATTCATAGCCATTCCAAGAGCCTCCTTCCATGATGTCTGACAAGTCTCTCTTGCTAACTGATTAGTTTCTTTGTCTCTTTCTTGCTGGCTTTTCAAATACTGACTAAATGCAGCACCATCAGGAAATCTGGAGTCCTAGCCACCACCATGATGCTGATATGATCTCTTCTTAGGAGCGGATCCTACAACATATGGTGTCAACAACAATGCCAATACCGTTGCCTCCTCTGTTGGTACTCCTCCAGAAAGAAGAACAGCTGATGCTCCTCCTTCAGCAGCAGTCAATGCTCCGCTAGTAACAGCAGTTTCATTGATTGGTGCTCCTTTGTTCCTCCTCCTGTTGACACTTCAGGTGCAGAAATATAAACATCCACAGCCTTACTCTTAACAAAGCCTTGCTCTAGATCAAAGTCATTCTCCCCAGTACCAATATTTGCCTTCTTGTCAATCAAGATGTGTGCCTTATTTGCTGCAAGCTTTGCATACCTTGGCATATTTGGATTTCCTGTTGAGCTTTTCTTTTTCTTTAAGGAGGAGTTATATTTGTTCCTATTGGATTTCTTGCTTCTGAAGAAGGGCAACCTTGCTGCATGCTTCATGACCATGTTCTCCCAAGCATATCCATCAATGGGGAGCATCTCCAGAATCAATGTTATGAGGCTCTCCAGCTTATCCTCTGAGTAGTTTACTACAGTACTGACCTTGCAGCCATTTTGCCAGTTTCATCCATCTTGACAAATATAGTATGGGGGATAGTTTGGGGGGAGCTGCTAGTGCCTCTTCACTGTTGCTGTTACTGGCCTCCTGATGCTACTGTAATCTTTACTGCAACAATGAGGGGAAATAGAATGTAGTGACTAAAAGCACTGATTGGGACATTATTTATGTGGCATGATATTGAATAGTAGAGGTGCCATTGTCAAAAGAGGTGCTTGATAGATGCCTCTACTCCTCTTTGTTGTTGTATAGGTTTCTGTTGAGTCTTTCAACAGACTAAAATTTTTTATTTGTCTAAAAGTAGAGTGCTTTGACTGGTTATAAACATGGTAAATCTAGAGCCACATGGACTAAATTTTTGGTCTGTCAGTCTATCAAATCTAGASTTTTTAGAATGACAGGAATTGCCCATTACATTGGGGGTGAAATGAAATTATTGATGTGTTTTAAGTAAATAAGGGGACTGTCAAACAGGGACAACAAAATTCAAGTCAATGGACAAATAGTGGGACAGAGGAAGTACTATTGTTATATCTTCTTGTAGAGGGTACTCTTTCTTGTTTGGAATCAAGAAAAATAAGTTCAAGGAGCCATTTTGTTATGGCATTTTTAATGATTGAACAAGAAGAATAAAACACAATTATGTGACTTCTTATACAATTGATTACGTTAAAAAATAGTAGTACACTAGCTACTACTAGTAGTAGTACTAAAGCAATTCATCATGCATTATTTGTAATAGCTACTACTTACATAGTAGTTTTCAAGGTTCACCAGAAGATGAGAGGAAGGAAAAAGGAGAGAGGGCAATATTTTGTCATTTTTAACTTAGCAGAAAAGGGACAAAAGTAACTACTTTGCCATCAAAGTGCACGACTGTAGACCACAAATTATTATTGCCTAGTAACAAGCAACAATGATTTTAAAAGAGCAGTACTAAACCCAAAAAAACTGATACTAGTATGAATCCAGTAACAATTGATCACYGCACTAAGAAAGTGGTTCCCATCATTAATTTAACCATGCCATCCTCATTTTTTWTCAGTACAAATTCTACAGAGCTCTACTGAGTGTTTCTCCCAAAATTTTTCAGCATGATCCGCCTTCCGAGGAAGAAGCAGGAGGATTGGTTCTCTGCCACTAGTATAGTTGCAAACTACCTCCTCAGTAGATTTTGTTCTGTGTTTTACTGGACTAAGGATGGCATCATTATTAACGATGGGAACCACTTTCCTAGCGCGGTGATCAATTGTTACTGGATTCGTAGTAATAATGAAACTACATTATGACCAACGAAAGGCAACTTTTAATTCTTGTAAATTAGTGAATTTAATTTAGKTCTTACWGTAAATACACCTATCCCTTGTCAGAGGATCTACCATGTATCAATGACCAGTCTTTTGTGCAAAAGATCCTCCCATGAGGATGCACCTTGAAACAGTCTATCAATGTCAAGCCAACAAAACTGTTTCTTATCGCGAGTCATTTTTTCAAAAGATCGAATGTGTTCCTCCCTACCCAGTTTCGTGTTGAATAAACCAGGCATGATCARCTCCTCAAATTCCAATGATTTGCTCAGGAAGGTTTGCAATTCTGACTGGGACGGGCAAAGAAGGGGCAGATTGTCCGTCGCACTCAATCYCAATTCCTTTGTGTGAAAGTGCTCCAAATCCACTACTTCTCTGATTCTTCTATTGTGCGTCGTTTCTTCGACACTTCCATCTAAGAAAAACGTAACATCTCCAATCCAACCGCGGTTCATGGCTTCGACGACAATATCGTGGTATTTGACAATGTCACTAGAGCCCCTGTTTTTTACGGTGTTCACTTCCGCTTCACTTCTCTCGTCCCGACTATACCGGCATGTGTTTTTCGTCCGACCTTCTCCAAGACTTTTGCAATATAGTTCCGTTGTAATGCTGTTGTAATGCTTCTCGCGAGGGAGTTGAAAATAGTTCAATACGTCGAACTTGATCTTGGACTTTTTTGGGTCAAAATTGCGAAAAATGGTATTCGTATATAATGAAGTATCGAAGCTAGCTGGCACCGCGGTTGTAGTCGTCGTTGCTGCTGTTCTTGCTGATGATTTTAGGTAAGGAAGCAAAGTGGTATCAAGATTGTAGCAAAATGCAGTACCATAGCCCGGCGACTGGATGTAAGTTTGTGCATATTCCCAAACATTCGGACACATGTCATCTGCATGAAACAGACAAGATTGTTTCGCCCGTTGCTTGTATGCGCTTGACAGCCATTCTCCGTATCGACGATAGGCAGCAACGATAATTATTTCATCGTAGCCCAAGTAATCAATGAACAAYTGYTGATACAGCGGAACTGTGTCCTCTACAAAGTCATCAGTGGTCARGCTGTAGAACTCGTTACTAAAAACGAGACTTTTCTCAATGATTCCCTTTTTGTCACCCCAACAACCTTCTCTGATGATTTCCTCTTGATCTTCGAATGTCAAGTCATGGAATGTCAAGTCGCCAGCACTACTCATCGTCTTCTTTCTGAACCGTGGTGGGATTTCTCCGTCCATTATGACTCTTTCCGAGCAGAGGATTCCCTGCTCGAATTCGAATTGCACTTGTGAATATTTACCAACGTACAAAGCTCCGTCTTTTTCCAGAGCTCTCGTGAAGTTTTCATTCCGACCCGAATCCATTTGTATTGTCGTCGTCGCGGTTTTGATCGGTCCAATGTGAATGGCCACAAATTTCCTTTCCGTGTTTTGGCGGCGAAATTTCAGCAATCCCCAAAACACGAACAGCAACGACGCAGTTACCAGACCGACACACCTTACTGATCTTCGTCTTCGGAATGCACTCGTCTCTTCATTTTTCTTGAACGGAAAAGCCTGTCCTGGTGGTTCATGTCCCTTCGAACTGTGGTGATTACGTCTTCGCAAACTGYGCTGAGCACCCGTATCGGTCATCGTATTCTTACTCGTACTCGTACTTGCACTTGCATTCGCACCCGTTCGTCATCTCCAAAATCTGGTTCTTAGTAGTCCGTGGTCCCCACTGTACCTTTAGGGGTGGGTTATCAATATTTTTTATTTTGGCCTGCTTGCGAAATCGACCAGAAAATTACTAGAAGTACTTCGTACTTTACTAGCGATTTTGCCGTAAAATATGCAAGATTTGCATCACGAATCCCATGTCCGTTGAAGCAGTCAGGGGTCTAAATTGACCCCTGGAAGCAGGTAGGTACGTACCGTAGGTACAAGCAGGGGTCATAATGACCCCTGGGTACAAGWTMGTATCGCATTGTACTCGTTGCAGTCGTGCCATTAAGTCGTATGTACGGTACGAACCAAAAAAATACAGTCACTAATTACTGTATTCATTACTCATTRCTCATTTGCTCTGATGCAAATGAGTTCATTTTCTCTGTTTGAATTAAACGATGCTAGTTTAGTCATCCAATCCATCCAAAGTACTATTGCGACACAASTCTTTTGTGCTGTAGACAGTGGATCCCRTTTTCAAAAAAATAAGTCTCAACAAAAAGACGGCTATGGTGATATACTGCATTTATGCTATCTTTCCGATTGAATTTTTCTATCCATCATATTCTCAAACTAGTGTTGTGCCTAAGCAGAAAACATARTACTGTAGAACCTAGTATGATAGTCTCATCGTTTCCTGCTCAGAAAAGGATGCGCTCGAGCCCAGCCTCTCGTGTGCTTTAATCATACTAGAGTTCGATTTATGTTAAAGCAGATGAGCGCATCTTGGAGACCAGATCGTCCACAACAGCACTTCGTTTTTGTCGTATCCTCTCCGGCTTTTTGTTCTCTTCTTCCGAAGTTTCTGACGTTGAAAAACTGACGACTGCTTGTTCGTCTTCGTCTGCAGCTATCACGCTGCTGGTCATGGACGAAGACGCAGCCGAAACCCCACCCATTATGTCGTTATAACATCGATCACAAACACGAACCGGAACGGTYAGGCCTATCGATGGGATAGGTACCCGGTTCTTTGAACATGGATCGCAGATAAGTCCTCCACACGAGCGGCAATTGTGTTTGTCTCGGGCTTCTTGKGCTTCGCTATTCGAAGTGCTYGCCCAAGTAAATCGATTGGCGCAGCAGCAGCAGGTGTCGTCYTCGTCATAAGCTGTCCATTTGGGAGGCGATTCGGATGCGGTTCGCACCGTTTGAACTTCTAGTAAACTTTCAAAGTACGACTTCGTTGTGTGATTAGAGAGCATGTTTCCAGCCAAACTAATTCGACGAAGCTCTTTGAATGTACGCGGAACATATGCTGCTTTGTATACTCCACGATGAGAGTAAATATGAACCACCTTTCCTGGCAAGAACATTCTGTGAAGTGGACTTTCGTCCAAAACAACTGCGGCGCGATCATTCTCGTTATCATTGTCCACCGAAGAATGATTCTTTTCGGATGAAAATTCGTTTCCATTGATATCAAGTGACCAGCTATCGCTCGACTGTATAGTTGTACTGCTCGTTAGTTCTCCGATGGGATCACTAAAATGATCGCCTCCTATCGATTGCGATTCATCAACGCTATCCGCAACAAAGTTTCCTTCTGGCTCAAAAAATTCGTCTCCGTCAATGATCACACCTTCTTTTCGGTTGTCCCCTGCACCAAGAAATTCTAGGAGCAGTTGTGCCTCGGAATCATGTAGCTCCGTTTCATCAATAACTTTTTCATGTTTATCGGTCTCGTCATTGGAGCTCGACATTGACAAGTTCGTTGTTGGCACGAAAAACTTCTCTCCCCATTCGCTTGGATCAGAAGTCAGTGATTCAATTTCAGCAAACTCAGAACATTCGTCCCTGGAATTGTTGCCACGAATGTCTCTAATGTCGATATCTGAAGTTGCATTTGAGGCCCTAGTMATTGCATCATTCCTTACAGACATCAGCTTTCCTTTCCCACGCAGTATCTGTTTTTTGCAGTACTTCTTAATGGATTTTGTGGAGGATCGCARCGCAAAATTCTGTCGGAGACGCGGAGCCCATGCTTTTCTGGCGCGTTCACCTACCGCACGTAGATCCTCTTGGATATGYTTCTCTACCCAGGTTTCTCGAATGTACAAGAGGTGTTTCAGCAAACCTCGGCAGCTGGTGGGAGTGAGGCGGGGGAAGACATCGTCGTGAAGCACCACGGTCGTAACAAACGAATCCACCAAGTTGGCCAGTTTCGAATCAAAACAAGATGGTGTCCCATAGGCGTAAACTTTCAGGAGAGCAATGTCCTCCGAATTGGATCCATCTGTCGGGTTCGAATAACCTAGCTGCTCCAAATATCTCAGAACCAAAACTCCTATCATTGTTGCGACCCCACCACCAAGACTGTGCCCAACCAATCGAATTCTGTATCCTTGTTTGACAAAGTAGATGAGCGAATCGATGTGCTCCGAAAAGAGATTGGAAGCCGCGGCTACCATTCCACAAAGAGCAAGGCCTTGGCCACGATCTATATTGGTCCAGTCTCCGTCCTCGTTTTCAGAACTCTCACGGTCTAGGTCTATGTTGGGRAAGGGTACTGGTGTTTGGCGGATATCGGTAATGACGTCGTTGATTGTGGCCGTACCACGAACCGATAGGCATGCAATCTTGTGTTCTCGGTGCACGAACATCGCAGAGGCCGGTCTATCACAAGTTTTCAGCGAATCTGTATCCTGGTGCAAATAGGCATACAGCAATCGCCACCCTTGTTGTCCAGCGAGGAGCTGCATTTCGACCTCCTTGGTAGCATAAATAAAGTTGAGCGCAATGGGAGCATAAAATATCAACGAMCCTAGCACCTTGTCCGGTACAGGATCACACACAGGAGTGAAGTTTGGCAATGGAAGATTTTGTTGTTGCTGTTTCTGTCCATGTTTCATTTCGGTGTGCTTTTGCCCATCGATTTCTGTAGAAGCAAGGGAGCCCTGTCTTGGGTCTCGTTGGACCGGATTTTGGAGCTTTTCGTCCAGTTTCACGTAATTCGAAAATACCGGATTGTATGTGTCGGTCTCGTCTACCACCGGGCTRTTTCGAAAATCTAGAGCCGAGAGCTCGTAACTGTCTACCGCCAYGGGAACATTGTTGCAGCCCCTGCCACGCACATGGCTTGTAGCAGGATCCACGGCGGGTGTCCGTGTCCCTCCAACKCGGCTTTTCGCTGGCGTCTCGTTCCCCTGGCACCCAACCGTAGCCGACCGAAACCGGTGGATCGTGTGCTCCCGGTCTGGGGACAACCCGCGCATCGCTCGGTGCTGCGCGAGGGCGTAGAATATGGCCGCGCTGAGTTCGTGGACGCTGAGTGGCCAGGACGACTTGTTGATGCCCAGTGCCTTGCGCAAGAGATCCGCCGCCGCRAGGAATTCCTGCCGCAGTATGATCCCATATATACCGTGCAGGCCATACTTTCTCAGGACATCTACGGTATCGACCGCAATAGTTGCCTGGGCTCCGAGYGGAATGGACTTGGCCATGGCAATGGCAGCGTTCGTGAGGCGGAGCGCCACGGCCTCTGCAGAATCGATCCCGGTCTCAAAGTAGGGCGTCAGGCGGTCGTTGGTGTGGTCCCGGCACCTTGCCAGCCGCCAGACCACYCGCTCAGCGAGGTTTTGCTCCTCCAGGATGCGCTTGCAGGTGTCGCAGACGCGCTCCGGGACGTCGCTGTCGTATCCCAGGTGCGGCAAGCGTTGGATAGACTGCGAATGGTCCTGGCAAAAGCTGTGCCCACAGGACCGGCAGTGATGTCGCAACCGCASAGGGCCAAAGGGCTTGTGACATGCTTTGCATACGTCTGCTTTTTGCCATACGGGCCGCGCTATCTGGGTAGGTACCAGAGTCCGTGCCTGCTCGAAATCAAAGTCCTCTGTTTCGGCAACCCCCTGCGGTGTTTCTGGCAGGTAGGTCCTCCATTCYCGCACGAGCTGCCGATCCACCCAGGGCAGACTGGAGAAGGGAGGGAGTTCGGAGAGGTGATGCGGAAACTCTAGGTTGGAGGACGGCGAGACGGAGAAGCCACCGGCATCGTGGCCCATGTCGCTGTATTTTCGGTGCCACCTCCCTTTCGAGTAGGATATTCTTGCCGTGTAGTAAATCCGGCGAATCGAGGAAGAGAGGAGCTCCCTCGCCGCCGCCGGCAAGACCTGAGAGGAAATTTCCTGCCACGAGGGCGATGGACGGGTGTTGCCCACCACCACCGAATCCGCGCCGGGAGGCATCCTGGCCAGGGACCCGGAACACGGCCCACAAGATGRCGGAGCGGATCGAAGCCCGGAGATTGCCGGGATTGGTTTCGAATCCCGGCGGTGGTGCGGATAACAGGATGGGTTTTGTCGGAAGGCGTCCTCGACTTCCTTCGTTTCCTTCCGTTGCTGATATCTATCCCCTTCCTGGTTGTCCATGGCCTGTCGTTCGTGTTGTTCCGTGTGGATTGTTTCTTTTGCCTCTMGCATTGACTGCTCGCCATTGCGATATTGCTCTGTCTCGTGCACCTCATCGTCGTAACAGTTGCTGCCACTGGAGTTCAACCTAGAACGACGATCGCAAGTGGTGTTCGATGAGCTTCCAGCCGGGAGCGGAGACGTGTCGAACCAGCAACTCGGCGGGGCAACAAACTCGTCGTGCAAGGTTCGTGTTTGTTCCCGTTCCTCGCTCCTCCCCATTTTGCCTCTGCCGTTGTTGCCGTCGCTGTCACTGCTTTKMTTCCGTCCAACGGACGAAACGTAGGATTCAAAACCTCGTTATTGCTGTTTGAARTTCGAGCACTGCCAGCAGAATCGGTTACGGATTCGTTTCGTGTTCCTGACAACAAAACATTGCTAACTACCTCGTTCGGTCCATTCGTACCAAGAATCAGAAGGAAAAGACAATTCGTGAATGGTGCCTTCCATGCCTCGTAATACGTAKTAATGTATCGTATCGTGCACGTAGTCCTGCGAGACCGACCGGTTCACGGTACGACTAGTGTTACGTTTTGAGTCTGTACGTACATCGCATCAGTGYACCGTCGCGTACAAGGACTTCTGCTGTCAGAAATTGTCACTATTTTTTGTACGACTACGAGTACTACGCTACGAGTACAGTACATATCGTACCGTACGGTACAATACAGTACGTTAACAATCATAGAATTCTTCAATGTTGTCATTCCTTCATTCTTCATTTTCGGGCTAGAGCAGTTTTCACCAATGGAATAAGAAAATGTTCGACACCTAATTTCTGCAGAAATTCTAAACAAAGTTACCGTTCGAATGCGTACAAACGTACGRTACGTACGTTGCCTTCCTGTCTTCAACTGTATCTGACATCTGACACCATTATATGAGCATACTTTAGTACTCGTACTGTAACACATCTATTATGAAAAGGTAGCAGGATGGGCTGCGTACGTACGTACCTACGATATAGTACCGTAACTCTACCTCAAAAAATCTCGTTGGAAACACACGGCTTGCGGACAGACACTGAATTATGGGACGATTTTGATCACTGATGACCGGCCGGGAAATTTGAGGAGTCAAAAAAGAAAAAAAAAGAAAATCCAAAAATAAAGTCAAGCTTTTCATCATTTTTGGTACATTTCTTTGCAACAAGATTGCAGTCGGGTCCTCGGTTCGCATTCGAGTCGGTTCCAGTGGCCAGAACCGAAGTGGACTGGACCAATCTGTCCAGAATGCTACGACAACTCTCCGCCACACGGAGAAAGGCACTTCCGAGCGTGGCCCCACGCCGCGGCAGSCACAAAAACGTTCGGAGGGAGAACTACGATTGCGGTGGTGTCGTTCGGGTTTCGTCGGGTAATCCGTTGTGCCGGACCGTGGGTCGCTTCGAGGAGCGCCAGCGCCGCTACTTTCGGCACCACGTKCAGCATCATCACCAGCAACGGCGACAGCAAGGCGGGGGGTTCTCCTTCCATCACAACTGCACCGATCRTGCGACGCGKTGTGATCTTTCCCGCAGAGACCTCCCGTCGTTTCATCGCCTGCGGGCTTGCTATTTTTCCAACGCGGCGGAACGGACCCTGGACGACGAGAACGCCGACGATGACGCTGCGGTTCATGYTGGCGGGGACCAAGCTCCAGACCAAGCGCCGGTGCACGCGAACCAATCTACTGAGCACGAAGGAGATCCTGGTTTGAATCACRTTGGGAACCTCAAGCTGTGGTACCTGGATCACCACGGAGAAATCGGAAGCGTGGTTCAGGACGCTTTTGAAACGAAAATGGTACAGAATCCTAGCCATAGTATCCTGGTTCGATGCGGTGGAGATACGGACGCAGCGTTATCTGGCAAGGGCCAGGATGCCATCGACGCCATACAGCAAATATTCACGGCGTCGTTCACGTGTCCCGTCACGAACGAGCGATACGAAGCCGGCAGGTTGTCCGGATATTTCGATATTGGCGACCAGAATTTCTACAGCAAAAAAAAGGTTGCCCTACAGGCGGTTTCCGCGGTGGTGTTACRCCACAAGATGGGGGCAAGCGACAGCARCCACGRCAACCCCAACACCAAAGCCGTCCTGGACAACGGCGAGGAGTACTCCTACCGATTGCCGTCCACCAACGACCAAAACTCCCTCCGCCAAAGGCTTCAGGCATTGTACATGGMAAAATTCAAGGTCAGCCCCACAAAGAGCCAAAGCCGAATGACGAAGCAGTGCTTTGTTGGAAAAGAGCAAGGGGGGAGCTGGTGGACCGCCGCGTTCGTTTGCCCCGTYACGAGCCGAATATACGAAGCAGGAGACCTGCCGACAGMGTACGCACCAGACTCGATGAAGATGAACAAAGCCGGCCAAATCTGGTACCGGAAAAAGTCCGATGCGGTTCATGCTTCGGCATATACCGCTATCGATTCCATAGACTGGGATGCAGAACTCTCCACGCTCGAGGAGGATAAATCCAAAACGGCTCCCGCCGAGCTGGAACAATCTGCAAGATCAACAGATGTTTTGCGTGCTCTCTCGTTTTGGTTTTTGGAACAGCAGGGACATACCGATCTGGATCTATCGATCGAAGAAAATTTTGTGGTCACGGCCGGAACCGACGACAAAGGCCGGGAAGTGTGGACGGCATCCTTTCTTTGCCCTCTTACCGGCGAACGGTTCGATTCGGGGACAATAAATACCAACGACGCAGTCCCGGTCGCCGAAATCGACCACCTGAATTGGTACACCRACCGAGACACTGCCCTCAGGGCAGCCTCTCTCAGGGCATACGATGCCTTCCACTTTCGAGACACGGGGGTCACGGATCCGCGATTCTGCAGGGAAGATCCCACCGATTTCACCACAGGCAACGTAAGGGTTGGTGGCGAGGACATCGACARTGACAGTGAGAATGATGAAGATACATATACAGCCGACGATTTGATTGGTTACGAGGAGGATGAGGAAGATTTCATCATTGAAGTCATTCCACAGCAGTTGAATCTGTCCCGAGGGTTAGAGAGTGGTTCGAGCAAAACATTGGACATCATTGCACAGGCGTGGATTGATTCAACGGTAGTTCCCAGCAGCGAAGAAAGCCCCAAACACGAGATACAAAAGCTCCAAAATATATACAGTGAACGACAAAGGACTATCAATAGGGCAATGGAGTGGGTATCCAAGCAAAAGCACGACTCAGTGAAGGAAACAAAYGATCGAACCCAGTTCGATGTGACAGGAAGAATATGCAACCTGAAGATTGCGAATGCTATTCTTTCCTCTCTAGCRAAGAACCACCAACGCATTCCCTTTGATTCACGACCAGCCGGGGTGGAAAAGTGCGCAGCTGCCATTCTCGAAAGCATGTGGTCGTCGGAATCGACGATTCCCGATGCCCAGTCGTACGCATTGTACCTGAAGTGTCTCGAGGGGGAAACAGCCAAGGAGGTTGCAGGAAGAGCCCAAGAAATTATAAGTGCGATGGAATCGGGCGATGAATACAATGGTAGGTTTCTACCGAAACCGAACGAGGCTGTTCACAGCATTCTTGCCGAATTAAACGCGTTGGCGGGAATTTCTCCCCSAGACACCATCCGCGGTTGTGAAAGCCTCGATCGCAATGTTCATCTTTGCCATTTATCTGCCATGGCCCACAAYCCAACCATGTTTGATGCCAAACTTGCCAYCGAGTGCATCGATCAAATGAGAACTCTGTCAGAAACCCATARTTGCCCTTCATTACAGCCTGATATTGAAGCTTACAACGCACCACTTCGTTGGAGTGGCGGATCGCTAAGGTCACGGCTTTATTCGAGAGTAATCCCTTGGGATTCCTACAGCGAGATTTTTGAGGATGGATTCGTATCGGAATCGAATGCTGCTGCGTTGCTGGAGMAGGCAGCGAAAGTTGAGGAATGGATCGAAATGATGAAGTCGAAAACAGAAAACGACGATGCTCTGGCTCCAAATATTGAGACTTACGAAAGTCTTATTCAAGCGTGGGTACGCTGTGGGAGCATGGAAAGCCTTTTGCGGGCAGAGACGATTGCAAATAATCTAATARCTGGTGACTACCCATGTATCCGGCCCCGACTTCAGACTTTTTATCCAATCATCGGTGCATGGGTATATTCTGGATGCGACGAAGGCCCCCAGAGTGTGGAATCATGGATAGATCGGATCCTTCTTCTACAGTTAGAACCGGACATAGATTCCCGCCTCGGTTTTCCTCATCTTTCAATTATGAGTCAACTCTCACTGCAGCGACAGATTCTCAAGCAGTCGGGTGACACTCCTGACTCCATGAGCCGTATAAAGGAGAGTGCAATTAAGAGCAATGAAATTCTTCGAAGTATAATTGAGGAACAAAACAACGCCGCAGAGTTCAGAATCGGGAGTGACATGTTCATGCTAGTYATCAATGCCTGGTGTAATGTTGCCTCTACTGCCTTATCACAAAATATAATGGAAGAGGTCAGGCAATGCTCTCGAGAGATACAAAAGGTTGTGAATCTCTTTGATGAAATGTTAATTTCGCTCAATATGGCAGACGATTCACAGGAGGAGAATCAGTCAAAATACTCCAGATTGCTAAATGAAGCTCCTTCKGTCTATGGTGCTCAGATTGCAGCACTRAACAAGTTACAGACAGATTTTGATGTTTCCCATGAGGGATCCTGGAGTGACGATGGCCTTAGGCAACAACAGATCTTCATAGAGGAAAAGATTCGAAGATTGGAAGAGTTCAATTTCTTTTTCTCGGGAGATAASAACGTCAAAATAGCCGATTCCCAGAATTGCAATTCAGAAGTCAATATTATGTCACCCTTTCCAAACGAAGTTTACATGACAGATCCTTCTTGCAGAGACTGGGCTGATTTTATTTATCTATCCCTTGATAGTATTGAAAAAGGAACCAACAATTTTTCTCACGGAGAAGCTGATTTCCTTCGGMTATGCACCCTAATTACAAGAGTTACATCTAGCGCAATGCCTTCGGTTTTGACCTCTGAATCTAGAGACCAGATTTTTCACAAAGTTATTGACCTMCTGGAAATTTACGGCAGTCAAAACCAGGATCGCATGACGGTTGTTTCTACACTTGTTCAATCATTGAAAAAGYGTGTAGGGACTCAACAAGACAAAGAAACGAAGTCTTTGCATGGATGCATTCTCAGGTGTGGAACAAATGAACAATTGGACGAAGARGATGCCAACGATTTAACCGTTGCCMATGTCCAAACAAAACGAAAAATGAGGAGGAAGAGGTCTCGTGGGAACGAATTACAAGGAAGCTCGTATTCTCGTTCAAGAGTACCAAACCGCTCACTGTCAAGGCGCTCTCGTTCGCATCGTGTTAAATCAAATAATTGAAATGAATAAAATGYACCAAATATGATCATGCTTTATCCTTTTKMATACAATTTTGATACCTGTTCTGAAACAAGGGACTGGCTTGCACCTTTTGCGTTGCATTATGCTCAGTTTTTGGGCAACAATTGCTTCTTTTTCAGTTGTACCAACAAGTTAGTGTTCGTGCATGACATTAATGACCTTGCAGAGCAATTGAAAAGAGCTATTTYTGGCTTGTAAATGTGATGTAAATGATCAAAACATCCCAATACTAGCCATTTGGGAACCATTGCTTTTCTTCATGACAGCCAAGACTAAATTGTTTATCTGGCTATTTTCCTTTAAGCATAAGCCATTTTCTTTCTCTTCTTCCTTTACAATTGAGTAGAATTTTCAAAGAAAACATCATTGCATATATTCCCCTCTCATCCATACCTTACTATCTCATAGACAAAAAATTTCTCAATTTTTACCTTGATCCTGCCTGTGCTTTTTTATGCATTTTCACCCAATTCTTCCTTCTTCCACTATGACTGAGTACAAACAAGAATCATCTTGGCTCCTCCTCCTTTCCATTGACAACAAGCTGCTACTTACACCTATGGTATCTTAGAATATCTGTGATGATATASTGATAAAATTTGGGATTTCCAAACTAATACTACTAGTACTAGTAGTACTAATACTATTAGTAGTTGCTATGGACCATAGTTTCCCCCTGGAGATCACGGATGCAGCATGCTTYCTGAAAGTACTAGAATTAGAAGTATGTGGACTTACTAACCTGGTGGACATATTGTAGAAAACCAATCCCATTCAGGTAGCTTGCGATCTAATTTAAAAAGGAGTAGTAGACTAGGGTGCTAGATGATGTGCTATGGCATTACTAATACTACTATTACCCAGTCTTTGGCGCACTACAAGCACATATCAACAACAAAGATGAATCCTGTTCACCTTCTCAGGTATTCTTGAAATGAGGGAAAGGTTGTTGATATWAATACTACCACTGGTATTCTAGTAGCTCTAGTACCTAGAACTAATTACACTTTCAAATAATGAGTAGAAGTGTTTTCTTTGCTAGATAACGATGATTCTGATGCCCAGCAGTAACTTGTCAAATATCTTGTTTAACAAGGCATGGGAACAAAAAGAAGAACAATGATTCCACCAATGGGTTCTTGTTGTGTAGTACCCTTGTTACTATGGAGTAGTATTAGTAGAATCAGCAGTATGGTGATTTCTTTCTTGTATGTGTAATCAAAATCCACCACCACTACTATGTTTTCTCAATTTGGCAAGAAGAGGATTCCATGCTGCAGGATTTCTATGATGATGCTCTCCTACCACCACCAGGAACCTCCAAGAAACTGCTGATTCTTCTTCTTAGTAGTGGCAGTGATGGTGATCAGTGCTACTACTTGTACTAGTAGTATTATGACTAGTATTACTGCTAGTAGTAGTACTACTACTACACTACTTGTAGTAGTACTAGTACTAGTAGTAGGACCAGACAAAGATCATTGTTGTTGGGGGAGGGTAGTAGTAGTAGTAGTAGTAGTAGTAGTAGTAGTAGTAGTAGTAGTAGTAGTAGTAGTAGTAGTAGTAGTAGTAGTATGTATTTCTAGTGCACACTTGTCTATAGCTACTAACAAAGTTCCTAAGATCATTATTATTGCTTCTGCCAAACTTAAATTTCTATTGTGAGTTTTAGAATGTATGTCCTAAAAGTAATAGTACTGACCAACTGTTGAGAACTTTGTACTGGTGTAGTAGTAGTATTCTCACAAAATACCATCAATATACATACTACATAGTAGTAGGTATCTACTACTCAAGTACAAAAGTTCCAAATGTCATTATTTTAGTAGTAACTTTACCAACCTTAAATTTCTGTGAGGAGTTTGAGAAAACTATGAGAAATTTCTACTAGGAGTACAAGTTTAACAACAGTTTTGTCTTAATTAGACACAACCTGCACTCACCAATTGCAATATCTCCACAASCACCAAATCATGGTAACACAAGCCAAGCAAGGGGGTACCTGAACAAAGCAGTAATTCTTCAAATTAAGGCTGCCAAATATTGTTCTACTACTGGAGGAAGAACTCTTCTTTTTACTAGTACTATTCTACCAAATAGGGCAAAAATAGTAGTGTCAGAAATTATTGAATCAGCATATACAGAAAACAAACAAGTCATTACATGAAAAAAGATAGCCCAAAATTGACACACAGTACAAAAATGTGTAGAACATTGTTAAGTACGTGTCAACTCACTCTAACAGCTACTATATCTTGGTCCCCCAATGGATCCTTAAGAATGATAGGCATTTGATACAAAAGTAATTTTAAACAGGAGTCCAGTTGTGTCTGGGGTTATACAGGGTTATTGATTATTAAAAGGTATAGAGCAGGGTTGTACATTGAGGATAAAGAACATATATAACTGGTGTGTCTAGAATTTTCTAGCCTATGTTATACACCACCCAATAATTGTGATTGGGGATGATTTGGTCACACATCAATTTTCCAAAAGCATCAGCTTGCATCCTACTCATATTTTGGACCTATCATGTGCTGAATTTTCCTTTGCAGTACTGTATATCGTATAGAGTTGGTGGGCAAATGTACAACCCAGTCCTAGATTTTTGGCTATCTAATTACCATGTAATGACTCATGGGATTAAAAATTTAACTTGTACTACAGGTACAGTGGGGCATGTGCTGAATTTTTGAGTCCCACAAGTCTGCGACCAAAAAGTTTCGTGCGCACGTGCTCAACCAAGAATTTTGGCTTCAAACACATGCAAATTTTTAATCCCACGAGTCATTACACGGTAAAAAGATAGCCCAAAATCGACACACAGTACAAAAAACATGTAGGGCATTAAGAGAGGTATACACAGTTCTACATATTGATAATAGAAACAGGACTGTTCATGAGACCACTAGAAGTACTCCAGAATGGTCTCTAGTGTCTTAGCATTTATGAATGTGCTCAGTCAAAGTGYTGGGGAGGTGTGCATATGCCAGTGTCCAAACAAATAGGTCATCAATGGCTGACATCCTCATCTACTAACAGCCTGTATCATGGCTAAATTTTGCTTATTCCAAGACCAGCTCCTACTATGAGTTACAAGCAAAGTATGAACTACRCCCACAAATGACCCAAAAACAACTACTATAGACCACTAGACTAAGTGCAAGTCATGATTGATACAATTATTTACATRTCTGTGTCACTGGGAACCCATACGATTGTCTAGAGGCCTCTTCTAGCTCAATGAAGTTCTTACAACAGCCAGCAACCAGTGGCCAAATTTTGATGTAAGAAACAAGTCAAGACAGAACCTACTACAATACTACACATAAAGAACAATTGTAGTACTTTTTTAAAATAAGGGATTGGAACTTTTGATTAATGCTTCAAATATCAATTTAACATTCCAAAGGTTACTAAGTACACTGCAGGGCTGTTTAGAAATGAAT